GTTTTTCCTGAATAAGTGCATCGTTATGACTGTAACATTGACTAATCCCCTATGACCCCAAAGCCCTGATTAGAAATCAAGAGACTCATTTTTTTAAAATCAAATTAAAATTGTTACAACATAGCCATATTTACTTAAAAAAAAAAAAAAAGTAAGCTCTATAGCTCCAGCTACTCAGGAGGCTGAGGTAGGAGGATTGCTTGAGCCCAGGAGTTTGAAGCAAGCCTGGGCTACATAGAGACCCTTTCTCTCTCTCTCTCTCCCCCCACCCTCTTGTTTTTTGTTTGTTTGTTTTAAGTGTAATCTAGAGAACTGAGAATTTTTTTATAGACAAAATGACTTCAAGGGCAAAATAGCTAGGATTTCTTATAAACTGGATAATGTTATTGCTTAGTATATAGATGTTAAAATGCAACAGATTAATAGCTACAAAGAGCATAGTGTCTGTTTGCTGATTTGAAAGAAATGTTTAAATCTTAATTTTTTTTTTGAGACAAGAATCACTTTCTCTGTTACTCAGGCTGGAGTGCAGTGGCACAATCTTGGCTCCCTGCAACCTCCACCTCCTGGGTTCAAGTGGTTTTCGTGCCTCAGCCTCCAAAGTAGCTGGGATTGCAGGCTCATGTTATTATACCAGCTAATTTTTGTATTTTTTTGTAGAGACAGGGTTTTGCCCCATTGGCCAAGCTGGTCTCAAAGTCCTGACCTCCAGTGATCTGCCTGCCTCAGGTTCCCAAAGTACTGGGGTTACAAGTGTGAGCCTGGCCTAAATCCTGATTTTTAATGTTTAAATAAACTTATTTTCCTTGCAGCCATCAATAAAATGTTTCCTATTATTTATAGGACAATCTCAAATTTAGGACATACAATTTTATTTAGCATTACATGACATACATACATGTATTTTACTTCATTTTCAGAGCTATATTAAAAATTTATATGTTAAACTCATAACTATATGTTAAAACCCATGCTGACATCATATTGCTTATTTGATAATCCTAATCATCAATAGTAGCATAGTGATCAATAAAAAGGTCTCTAAGCAGAAAAAATATGTGATACAATAACCATGTTCTTAACATGCATGATATATTAACATTTTCACCTCCTCGCAGTGACTTCTTTAAATTCATATTCAGCCATGCATTGCATAATGACATTAATGTTAACAATCGACTGCATATATGATGGTGGCCCCATAAGATTTAATACTGTATTTTTAACTTTACCTTTTCTGTGTTTAGGTGCACAAATACTTAACATTGTGTTAAAATTACCTGCAGTATTCAGTACAGTAACTTGCTATAAAGTGGAGGTGTTCAATCTTTTGTCTTCCCTGGGCCACACTGGAAGGATTGTCTTGTGCCACACATAATACACTAACAATAGCTGATGAGCTAAAAAATAAAAAAAGTTTTTAAAAAATCCCTTCTTCAAAATCTCGCAATGTTTTAAGAAAGTTTACAAATTTCTGTTGGGCCACATTCAAAGCTTTCCTGGGCTGTGGGTTAGACAAGCTTGCTGTAAAGGTTTATATCCTAGGAGCAATAGGCTATACCATGTAGCCCAGGTATGTAGTAGGCTATACCATCCATCTTGGTTTGTGTAAGTACACTCTGTGATGTTCACACAACAACGAAATTGCCTAACAACACATTTCTTAGATGGTATCCCTACTGTGAATCAACATGTGACTGTAATTTTCTCTGTTCTATTCCATGACATGATTTCTATAAAAACTCTTAAGAAATTAGAATATTATTATATTATTAAGCTGTAAGGAATCACTTGAAAAATAAATTGCTGATTTTTGCTCACCTGTTTTAAAATTTTATTATCGCTAAATACCAGCTTTAAATCCAAAATTTTATAGGAGAGATGAAAATAAGTACCTTATAATACATCTCAGCCTCTACCTGAAATTTAATGACTGAATTCTGCCCTGACAATTTAAATTCGTTATACAGAATGAATGTTTTGATTTTCAAATAAGTGTTTTATTAAAAATTTGTTATTCAGAATGAATGTTTTAATTTTTTAAATAAGTGTTTTTAACTTTATCATTAATCGTTAAGAGTTTTCACATTATACTTCTTAAAGATCCACTTCCATAAGCTAAAAGTGATTTTGTTTCTAGGCTGACTCCCCTCATGGTTGCAAATAAAGTAGCGTGCTGCTGCTTTTTGGTGGGTAGAAAGTGCTTTTAAATTCATTGCCTGAATTGGCAATAGTTTCCAATGGTCAGGTTAAAAATAAATAACTTCTTGGGAGGCTGAGGCAGGAGAATTGCTTGAACCCAGAAGGCAGAGGTTGCGGTGAGCCGAGATCGTTCCATTGCACTCCAGTCTGGGTAACAACAGCGAGACTCCGTCTCATAAATAAATAAATAAATAACTTCAAGTATAATTAACTATTTTTGAATTTTCAAAATTTTACAAATAACACATCTTGAAACTTTTTCATACACCAGTCGGATATAAAATATGTACTAACATGCATAATATTTTAGACATGTCACAGGCTAAAATTAGATAATCATACAAGGTTTTTAAAAGTATGAATTAGGTATAATGGAGAGTTTAGACTTTTGCTATGTACTATCTTACCTTTTTTTTTTTAAGAGACAAGAGTCTCTGTACCCAGGCTTGGGTGATCTCGGCTCACTACAGCCTCTACCTCCCAGGTTCAAGTGACTTTACTGCTTCAGCCTCCTGAGTAGCTGGGACTACAGATACACACCACCACACCTGGCTAATTTTTGTGTTTTTAGTAGAGACCAAGTTTCACCATGTCGGCCAGGCTGGTCTCGAACTTACGACCTCAGGTGATCTACCCACCTCGGTGTCTCAAAGTGTTGGGATTACAGGCATGAGCCACCATACCCGGCCTAAAGTTTTTCTTAAAAATCATTTAATCTGAATACTTGGAAAGAGTAAAAAAAGGCCAGGCGCAGTGGCTCATGCCTGTAGTCCCAGCACTTTGGGAGGCCAAGGCGGGTAGATCACCTGAGGTCGGGAGTTTGAGACCAGCCTGGCTAACATGGCAAAACCTGGTCTCTACTAAAAACAAATTAGCCGGGTATAGTGGTGTGCACCAGTAGTCCCAGCTGCTCGGGAGGCTGAGACAGGAGAATTGCTTGAACCTGGGAGGTGGAAGTTACAGTGAGCTGAGATCACGCCACTGCACTCCAGCCGGGTTGACAGAGCAAAATTCCATCTCAAAAAAAAAAAAAGGAAAATTTTATGTGTGTAATTTAAGTTGCAAATGACAATTAAGTTTTTAATATTTTCTTATTTTTGCTTGGGTTTGTTTATACGTTTAATTCCTTGACCAGAATGACTATAGCTGAATTAACTTTGGATAGTGTATTTTCATTAATTTACTATCTCATCATTTCCATGGGTTAGGAGTCTGGCACACCTTAGCTGAGTCCTCCATTCAGAGTTTCAGAAAGGCTAACCAGAAGGTATCAGCCAAACTGTATTTCTTTCTAGAGATCAGAGTGCTCTTCCAAGTTCATGGAGTTATTGGCAGGATTCAGTTCCTTGCAGCTGTAGGACTGAGGTAACCATTTTCTTGCTGGCTGATGGCCAGAGGCTGCTGTCAGCTCCTTAGAAGCTGCTCACACTTCCTTGCCACATGGCCTTCTCATAGACCCTCTCACAGCGTGGCAGCTTTTACTTCAAGACCAGCAGGAGATATGTCTCCTGCTGCTTCTCTCTTACCTCTAGACCTTCTTTCAGAGGACTTACTTGATTATGTCAGGTCCACACAGGATAATCTTTTCTTGATTCACTCAGTGAACTGAGTAAGGGCCTTAATTTTATCTGCAAAATGCATTCATCTCTGCTATATTCTTTATCTCAAGACAAGTTATAGATTCTACCTGTACTCAAGGGGATGGGATGACACAAGAGTGTGGTACCAGGGGGGCAGAAATAGAGCCCTTCTTAACAGTTCTGCCTACAACCAACAAGTTGAATGAGGAATTCTAGAAACTGTTGTATTGATCTAGTTATTTACAAATGTAAAATTGCACTATTAGATGTAAATATATAATTACTATAAATTATAAAATGTAAATTACTACAAAAAATAAAAAATTGGTAATGTTGGACATTCATGTTGCCTAATTCATAATTTAGTTTATTTTGAAAATCCTTTTTGTTAGAAAACATAATTAGGTAATGACAATTTTGATGGTAAAACTTTCTAGGAAATTTAAGAATTAGTTATAGGTCTTAAGTGTCACCTTTGTTTTGATGTCATTTGGCACTAAGTATCATCCTAAGTGAAATTACTCTGTCATTAGGATCAACTGCCTTTATTGCAATGTAAATAATGCTACAAGAATAGCAATGCTTTGTTCTGAAAAAAGAATAATAAATGAAATCTTCTGAATTAGTAAGGGGAAAAAAAGCCTTCAAGTTAATCACATTGTATAGTTATTACTTACCTTAAACTTTCAATGTACTTTGAAATCTATAATCTTGTTTTTTAATATACAGAGAAAGAAAAAAGAAAGAGGACTTCTACTTGATTTTAGACAGTAGGGGTACCTTGTGAATAAAACAGACAAGACACTTGCCCTTTTGGAGCTTATGTGCTAGTGGGAGAAGAGATAAGATTGAAAAATAAATTAATAACTACATGGGAGCACATGTTAAGTGCTAAAGAAAATAGAGGAAACAATGAGTGGGGAGTTAGATAATAACAGGTATATATAATTTAGTTTAGGTAGCCAGGGAACCTTCTCTGAAGTGGTAACTCAGTCCATCTGAGCATTTGCTCTTATTTCAGTAGTTCTTTGGTAACTCAAGGAGCTGTTGTACTTAGAAACATGCAAAATATGTTTTATTTGGGGCATATTTCATATTTACACTATCATAAAATTGTGGCCAAGAAGTTAAATATTCTAAATGTGTCGAAATAGTTCTCTGTAAAACTGACTTATTTTCAAAATAACAAAACAATATAAAAATGTTTTTTGTTTTTAGGAATGGTGGAAAGCAGCAGACATAATTGGAGTGGGTTGGATAAGCAAAGTGATACTCAAAATTTAAATGAAGAGAGAATCTTAGCTTTACAACTTTGTGGGTGGATAAAGAAAGGAACGGATATAGATGTGGGGCCATTTTTGAACTCCCTTGTACAAGAAGGGGAATGGGAGAGAGCTGCTGCTGTGGCATTGTTCAACTTGGATATTCGCCGAGCAATCCAAATCCTGAATGAAGGGGCATCTTCTGAAAAAGGTATTAGGTTATATTCTAAGATATTAGTTATAATCTAAGATATTAGCAGTTCATAGAATCTCTTAAACAAAAGAGGCTAATTTTCAAATATCTAATCACTTAATATTTAATTTTTGTTGGAAGAGAAAACATAGTAATGTATCTATAACAATAAATACTTAGCTCATCCCTTATGCCTTGGTTTAGGTCTGTAAAAACAAAGACGTGTCTTAAATGTCAGTATAATATTGTAAGGAGAGCTCAAATGTGTCCATTTCCAATGTCTTCTCTTTTAAAGATAGTTCACATACATTTTACAAAATATATTTCCTTAAAGATTAGGATTACTTTAGCCTACAGGTATTTTTATGGTACATATTTGAGTGTGTTTTAGTTTATACTTTTCTGGATGGTGGTTTGTCCTTTAGGAATCTCTGAATGACACGTTTATGTAGGCTAATACAAATTCTTATAAAAAGCATACTTTGATCTTCAAAATGCTTCTTGAGTCTGGCGATTAAACTATAGTTTTCATTTAGTATTTTTTAAAAAGAAAGAAATAAGGTTTTTTACTCTGGCATTTTGCCAGAGGATCCTCAGAGAAACAAATCCTATTCCAAAACCTTGGGGTTTTTTTTCTTATCAGGAATATTTCAATTGAAAATAACTAAAATATATGTAGCTGTTGGGTTTTAGTACACCTAAAAAAATTTTTCTGAATATTCAGAATACTGAATTCTTACTTGCTGCTCCATTTTAAAACCATTATAGTTCAACTGTAGCATAGAGAAAAACATGAAATTCACGGTAATATATTTTTTTGCAGTCTAAAAGTTTAAAAAGTTAATGTTTTGCTCAGATTGACATCTTTTTCTTTAACTTTGATCTAACAAAACTCTTCCCCATTTAAGAGTACAATAGAAAATATGTGATGATGGAAAAAAGAATTGATATTTAAAGCCATTTCTAATGATAAGTTTGCTATAACTTGAAAGGGTAATACTTTCCTATCTTGTGTACCTGGAAAATTTGGTGGTTGATTTAAACACCCATACTAACAATAAGGAACGTGTATCTTTCCAGTGATTTTAAGAACTGAAGAGAAGATGTCTCTGAGTCAAACATTCCTTTCCATTTGGAAGTAAATTTTTCTAAGATAATCTCTTTGCTATTTTTATTTTTGTTTTAAAAGACCCTAAACCTAATTTAATATATTAGATAAAGGAAGCAAGCATGAAATAGCTTTGGAAAATGTTTACAGAAATGAGGAATATAAAGCTGTTAAGAACATTAAGTGGGAAACACTGCTTTATTTGGAAAAGAAATCAAAAGATTAGAATGAAGAAATAGAATAAGAAAACTTCTATAATGTAGAAATACTTAAGAGTGAAAGTTAAAAGAAAATTTAGTTTTCTCCTTTGAAAGAACTTAGAAGACTAGGCAGCCATAGTGCTGAAGGCCAGGTTAGCAGCTTATCAGCATGCATTGAAACTGCTAAGAACAAATGTTTAATAGACTATTCATAACAAATGCTTTGTCGCAAATGTGTCTAAATGCAGTTCTGTGGTAACTCTTATAGTTCATTTTGTCCTGGAAAAATTATAAGTGTAATACTATAATTAAAATGTTGAAATATTGCTTTTCGCACTTCGCATTGACACTTGGTGGAAAGCAGCAGACATAATTGGAGTGGATTGGATAAGCAAAGTGATAGTCAAAATTTAAATGAAGAGAGAATCTTAGCTTTATAAGTATATGCATTAACTATTTGGGAATAGGAAAATAAAATGATTTTTAATATTGCAGTCTTGAGATGCAATAATATTTACTGTGTTTTTGAAACACTATTGCATTGATAAAGTTGTTAAAGTTGACAGTGATTCTGGTAGGATGACTTTACTTTTCTTCATTTAGTAAGCAATAACATACATATATAGGAACATATATAGGAATAACATATATAAGAACCTGCCTGGAATGAGAACTTGAAAATTAAAAGATCTGCTTTCCTGCACACCTGCACAGAGTTTGCACACATGGGGATGAGTTTTATAAGAACAGAAATGTTTTGCTTATTGTCTTTGCCAAATTTTCCAATCTGAATCAAAACCCAAAAGCCTTTTTTTTTTTTTTTGAGTAAGGTGCAAGTTTATCATGAAAGTAAAGAAATAAAAGAATGGCTAATCCATAGGCAGAGCAACCCAAAACCCTTATTCTCTGGGCTTATTTTTCTGAGGGTAAAAGTCACCCTCTGATTTCTATTTATGTTTTAAGAAATGTAGAAGAGATATTAAGCTTTCGATCACTTTGATTAGCTGGCTGTTTTTAATATGCAGGAGATCTGAATCTCAATGTGGTAGCAATGGCTTTATCGGGTTATACGGATGAGAAGAACTCCCTTTGGAGAGAAATGTGTAGCACACTGCGATTACAACTAAACAACCCGTATTTGTGTGTCATGTTTGCATTTCTGACAAGTGAAGCAGGATCTTATGATGGAGTTTTGGTAAGCTAAACTTGTTTTGTGAGATATTCCTTTGAATTAAGATAGGAGTTTTTATCTAACTTTGTTAAAATTTTCAAATGTCTGTTGCATAAAGTATTTTGATACACATTATTTAAAATAAGGCATCTTGGGCTTTTTTGTGAGCAGCTCTTCTTGAGTGTGTTTCCCATCCTAGGGTTAGTTAACTGATATCAAACTGGATTTGATTTTTATGGTGTTAATACTATAATTTACAGGTATAAAAAGAATAAAGATTTTATCCTTTAGCTTGAGAACTGAGCTGTAGAAATCTAAAGCTATGTAACATAAAAATATATTCACTGTTTAAATACACTGTGTGTGCACTTGTGCATGTGTGTGTGTGTTTGTGTGTCTGTATGTTTAGTTAAGTAAAACAACTCATGATTAGTTTATCAGTTATGGTGGAGGTGACCAGGTATCTTGTCTCAGTGTCTGTCGTTCCTGTTTGGAATGACGATAATACTTACAGTGGACTCTTTCAACATTTTATTTGGTCTTTGTGGGTTTTTTTTTTTTCTCCTGTTTTAGCCACCTGTTATCACAACACTATCAAATAGGTTCTTTATCACAAAATGGGGAAAGAAAAAATCAAGTGAGATTTGCTTTTCAGTTTTAGCTGTTGGGTTTTAGGTGCTACAACTTTCTTTGCACTACTTGGCTTCTTTCTAACAATGAGAAGAGCTTTCTCCATGGAAATTTATTTCTGTGTTTGCTACTATAGCATTTCTTATCAAATATATATTTCTTGAATAAGTGATTTAAATGTTAGTCCCTAAGAATTTATAAAAATATGTATTTTGTTGGAGTAGCTTAATGAAATTTTTTAAAAATGGTATTTTGTACTTCATGTATTTTATTACCTTTAATAAATTATTATTGAAATTTTCTGACCCCTTCAAATTAATATATAATGTTAAGACTTTTTTTTTACTATAATTAATATTTTTTATTAAACAGGAGACTTTAAATATATCTTGAAAAAAGAACTTTCAGGAAGTGTTAGAGAATGATAGAGACTAGATAAACAAGTGGATTGTTAATTTCTGAAGTGATAAAGATAGATATTGTTTAAATATTAAATTTTTGTATTTTAAGTTAAGTGACCCATTATAAGTACCCTTCTTTTGTTTTCCTTTTCTATTTTTTTGAGACTGAGTCTCTCTCTGTCGCCCACACTGGAGTACAGTGGTGCAATCTCAGCTCACTGAAACCTTCATCCCCTGGGTTTAAGCAGTTCTCGTGTCTCACCCTCCTGAGTAGCTGGGACTACCCGAATGCGCCACCATGCCAGCTAATTTTTGTATTTGTAGTAGAGACGGGGTTTCGTCATATTGGCCAAAAATACCAATTCTGGTCTCGAACTCCTGATCTTGAATCATCCACCTGCCTTGGCCTCCCAAAGTGCTGGGATTACAGGTGTGAGCCACTGCACCCAGCGCCAGTACTCTTCTTTTCTTATATATAAATTTAAGTTATTACATAACAGTCATCTTGAGTCATAAGTTCATATTTCCAAGCTGTTTCAACTATGTATTTAGTTTACCTTATGTGTAAATAATTATAATTAATGTTGCTCCATTAAAAAAATGTTAGTAGTAAGAATGTGGAAAGTACTGAATTGGGAAGTCCGAAAATACAGGCTGGACTCCTGCTCTGCCCTATTTACCTTAGCCATTTCAGTTAATTTTTTTAGTATTAGTTCAGTTAATTTTTTTAGTATTAGTTCTCTGAGATATAAAATGGGACAGATAATATTTTTAACCCTTTCCAGATCAAAATTTTGTAACATATGCAACTAAATCTAAGAGTTAAATCTAGTTATATGAAATATGTTCTCTCTTTAGGGCAGAATCATATTTTATCATAGAAAAAATATGCTAACATAGGTGTCAACTGAAGTGATCTTATGTTTAAAAAAGGAAAACTTTCATAGCATGACTTCAATGGAAATTGGATCTTTTTTCCACCCTTAAATTATTTTTACAAATCACAAAATTAATTGTACCTTTCTACAATTTGTAGTAAATATATTTTAAGTGTTTCAAGATATTGACAAGTGTACAAAAATTTTAGTTATTATAATGCCTCAGAAATCTTTGCTTCAAACCACCTATATAACAACATTAGCCACAAGAGTGTCTAAGTTTTAAATCTTGTCACTTTGTAGTTGGAAACGTATATTGGTGTTCTTCTAAATTGTGTACTGGTGTAGCCAATCACAGATTTCTTAGACTTATTGATTAATTTACTAGCCAAGGAAAGGTTTCCTTAGTTCTCTAAAATTAATTTCTATGATGGAATGGTTATGTGGCATATTAAATTTGACATACTGTACATCATTGCTTATGTTTTATATTGGAGTTATATAAGACTGACCTGGACTTTTTAAAACTGAATTTCATCAGTGTTTAAAAGGTAAATTTTTACTTTGCAAGGACAAAACCTTATTGCTGAGTTTTCTGAGAGTTACATCAAGAAAGGCATCTCAGGCAATTAATGGCTCTGCAAGATATATATGATAACTTATTAATAAATTTGGAAATACATATATTCCATTTTATTTATATAAAACATTTAGTCTCTGTAAAGCTTTAAAACTCAGTGCACCTAGAAGTAACTTTTTGCTTTTTCTGTTCTTTCCAGTATGAAAACAAAGTTGCAGTACGTGACAGAGTGGCATTTGCTTGCAAATTCCTTGGTGATACTCAGGTGAAAACTGATTTAGTTCTACATTTGAAGTGATTAATATTTATTGTCACAATTATTGTAAGAAGCTACTCTTTATAATTTTGTATGTGTGAGATTGATGTGTAAATCTTCAAAAAATATTTTGAAAATGTTTACCATAACTAAATTTATTTGTTTAGAATACTGACTTAATATTTTAGTATATTTCTTCTTCGGAGGGTAAGATTAGTTAGTAGATCTCAGTGATGTTATAAAAGGATTCCTCATTTTCAGTACATTAAACAATGCTAAATGTCAGTGCTGTGCATATAGTGAGGGAGAATTGCATGTAAATAACTAGTAATACTATGTGCTAGGTACTATAATGATGAAAATGTGCTGGGGAAATATGGAGGAATCTTGGCTAGAGTTTGTTTGGGGTGGGTTAAAGTCAGGGAAAACTTAAAGGTGATGGTTATTCTCGATGATCTTGAAGTTCCCTTCCAACTCAGATTTTGTGCTTCTATTATATACTACTATGATAGGCAGCAAACACTTTGCAGAATAATCAGGACAATTCTCTTTAAAATAGTAAACCATCTGTAGTTCTTTTTTGGATTAATTATCAACATAGTAAATGCCTTTTTAAAATATTTTAAATGATTATGGATACTGCTTTGAAATTTGTAATAGATGCAGACTTCTTAGTTACACATGTATATTTTAGTAAAGGCTTTTGTTTTAAAATGTTTTCCATTAGGAATGAAATTGTTCAAAGCATAGTATTTTGAAGTACAAAATACATAATGAAACATTGCTTTAGAAAAATCATTTTGAATATTCCAGTTAAATAGATACATCGAAAAGTTGACCAATGAAATGAAAGAAGCTGGAAATTTGGAAGGAATTTTGCTTACAGGCCTTACTAAAGATGGAGTGGACTTAATGGAGAGTTATGTTGATAGAACAGGAGATGTTCAAACAGCAAGTTACTGCATGTTACAGGTCAGTGCAGTTTGACAGTAGCTTTTAAAAAGTAACAGTATTTTATATTTTCTTTCCTTAGTTGAAAATAAATATGCACTTTTGCCTGCTTAGGATCTTTAGAAGGCATTTAGCTTTAACCTAATGAGTTGATCTACTAAAGACTTGTGCCTTATCTTACTGTCCCTAAGTCTCTTCATTGAGTTATCCAGTTTTTTCTTTCAATCTGAGAACAGCCAGTCTTGACTGCATCTGAATTTATGTAAAGTTCAGTTGGAAAAGAGAAACCTCTCTTCAGTTTCTCCAGTTGTTAACATAACTGCATCTTCTACAAGAAAGATTGCCTTTTCCTGATCTGAACTATAGTCTCACATAAAGTGCCGAAGTCAATATACCACAGCTCTCAGCTTTCTTTTTCTCTTTTTATTATCGATGGGGGTGATTTGGGGTAACCAATTTATCTATATTTTCTCAATTTTTACTGTCCAGTGATTAAAAACAGATTCCAGGCAAAGGTTGCTGTCTACTTTACTTTTGCTGGAAATATGGTAAAATTTAGAGTATTCTCCTGAGATTTCCTATAGCCCTCCAGCTTATCTTATCCTTACATGGTGTTGGTACTTTCCTCTTTCCTGCCCTCATCCTCATATCACAGTATGGTAGCATACTGTGTACTGGGTAAACACAGGAAAATGCTTCCTTTCCTACTGTACCTTCTTGTGCATATATAGAGATACTGGCCCACAAACAGACCACAAAGTAAACTTACTTAATATATCAAGCCACTGCCCATGGAAGAAAAAGTATCCTTCTATAACATTTTCTCTCACTGAAATACATTTATGTCTTTTAAATTAAACTGTGTGTGTGTATATATATATATGGCTATAGATAGCTACAGAGTACAAATGAGTAAGTAACTTCTTATCAAGATTTATAAAATATATTTAAAATGCATATGATACGTAATCAGATCTTGCTTTTTTAAAATCCAGTCTGATAATTGCTGCCTTTAATTGGAGTGTTTCCTTCATTTACGTTTAATATGGTCAAGGTTAAGTCTACCATCTTGCTATTTGTTTTCTGTTTTGTTTGTCCTTTTTCCGTTTGTTCTTATGTTCCTTTTCTACTGTATTTTGGGTTAATATTTCTGTGTTTCATTTTATTGCCTCTGTTGGCTTTTTAGCTGTATCCCTTTTCATTATTTTTTTTTTTAATGTTGCTGTAGGTCTAACAATAAGCATTCTTAACTCATCAAAGTCAACATTTTACCTTCTCATCCTTCACATTTCACACCTGACACGTGCTTTCTACTTTACCCTTTCTTAGATCACACTGATTCTTTCTGGGTTTTACTTCCTGCTTCACAAATGTCACAACAGTGTGATTTCATTTACACATCCATTCTTTTGTCCTATTGCCATATGTTTTACTTTTACAGATAATTATATACTCCAACTTATAGTGTTTTTTTTTTAAGTCATTTGTCTTTTATGTAAACTATGAAAAGAAAACATGGGCTTTTATATTTATTCACTTATTTGTCATTCCTGGCATTCTTTTTCCTTTCCATAAATCCTATAATATTCCTTGTAATATAGGTGACAGAGTCTCTCAAATTATAACTGAAAATGTCTGTTTCACCTTACTTTTTCTTTCATCACTTTAAAGATACAGTTTCATTGTCTTCTGGCATCTGTTGTTTCTGATGAGAGGTCAGCTATTCTTATGCTTGTTTCCATTGGGTTTTTTTTTTTTTTTTTTTTTTTGGAGACAGGGTCTTGCTTTATCACCCAGGGTGGGGTGGATCTTGGCCCACTGCAGCCTCCAGGCTTAGGTGATCCTCCCACCTCAGCCTCCCAAGTAGCTGGGACCACAGCTTCATACCACCACTTCTGGCTTATTTTTAGTATTTTTGATAGAAATGGGGTTTCACCATGTTGTCCAGGCTGATCTTAACTCCTGACCTCAAGCAATCCGCCCACCTCAGCCTCCCAAAATGCCCAGCCTAAATCCTGATTTTTAATGTTTAAGTAAACTTGTTTCCCTTGCAACCATCAATAAAATGTTTTCTATTATTTTTATGTGGGACAGTCTCTTTGGGTTTCTTCTAAGATGTTTTCTTTACCTTTGATTTTTCAGTAGTATGACCATAATATGCCTGGTTGTTCTTTTTATCCTGTTTGTGGTTTACTGAGCTTCTTGACTCTGCAAGTCTATTTTTCATCAGATTTGAGAAGTTCAGGGACGTTATTTCTTTAAATATTGTTTTCTGCCTCAAACTTATTTTTCTTAATACTCTTACTACATATGTATGAAACCACATCATAGTGTCCATAGGTGCCTGAGGCTCTATTCTTTTTCCATCCAGTTTTTTTCCCTATATTCTTCAAATTGGTTAGTTGTTTTTTTTTTTTTTAAAGATAGAGTCTTGCTGTGTCACCCAGGCTGCAGTGCAGTGACACAATCTTGGCTCACTGCAAACTCTGTCTCCCAGGTTCAAACATTCATGTGATTCTCATACCTCAGCCTCCCGAGTAGCTGGGATTACAGGCATATGCCACCATGCCTGGCTAATTTTTAGTATTTTTAGTAGAGGCATGGTTTCACTGTGTTGGCCATGTTGGTCTTAAATGCCTGTCCTCAAGTGATCTGCCCGCCTCGGCCTCCCAAAGTGTTTGGATTACAGGCATGAGCCACCGTGTCTGGCCCAAATTCATTGATTTCTGTTGACTTATGCACTCATCCTTCACCTCCATCTGCTGTTAAACTTTCCAGGGAATTGTTCATTGCAATTATTTTTGCTTTTCAGTTATAGAATCTTAACTTTGTTATAGTTTACATCAGTGGTCCCCAACCTTTTAGCACCAGGGGTTTGGTTTAGGGGTGATTCAAACACATTGTATTTCTTGTGCACTTTATTTCTATTATTATTACACTGTAATACATAATAAAGTAATTATACAACTTACCATAATGTAGAATTAGTGGGAGCCCTGAGATTATTTCCTCCAACTAGATGGTCCCATCTAAGAACGGGAGACAGAGACAGATCATCAGACATTCAGTTCTCATAAGGAGTATGCAGCCTAGATCCTTTACATGTGCACTTCACAGTAGGGTTCACTCTCCTATGAGAATCTAATGCCACCACTGATCTGACAGGAGGCAGCACTCAGGCAGCAATGTGAGCAATGAGGAGCTGCCGTAAATACAGATGAAGCTTCACTCATTGCCCTGCCGTTCACCTCCTGCTGTGCAACCCAGTTTGTACCAGGCCATGTACTCGGGGGTATATTGAGGGTTGGAGTCCCCTGGTTTACATTTCTCGGTTCAGATCCTTATCTCTCCACTAATCAAAACACTGTTTTCCCAAGCCCTTCTAGTTTGGTCAGACTCAATCTCTGAACTGTTTTCTTTACAGATCATGGTGCTTGATATTAGGCTTTATTGGAGAGGATCTAGAAAAGACTTACTGTATATATATTTACCAAATTCTTTCTTAGTTTATCTCCTTCCTGCCATATAAGGGGAAAGAATGAGATACGAAAACATCTTATTTTTCTGTGAATTTTCTTTTTAAACCTGGGATTATATGCTACTTTGGTACTTAGTTCTGCCCAGTTGGTCATAATTAGGGCTAGAGTAGACCTCTATTTTTTAAGAAATGAAATTGTAAGCTAAGTGTTTCACATGTTCTTTCAGCTAAATTTAACTCTGGTAATTAACACCAAATTGAATAGATGAAAGATAGGCTGGTTTAATGTTTGATTGGATGTATAAAGATTGTATTAACTGTTATGGATTTCTGTTCCTTTTTTTCCATAAGTAAGATATATGCCAGGTTCTCTGAAATTTTCTTTTCTATTGGCCCTCAAGTAGGACTGAGAAAACTGAGCTTCAGATTAATGTCAAAGCATCATTAGAAGTAGACACTTTTTCTCTTTTCTCCATCATGTAAAATTAAGGAAGAGATCCTGGACAGGGCTAAAAGTCTTTTAAGAAAACCTAAAGCAAGCATAGATGAAATTTGGAATATCACAGCTACCAGGGAAAATACAACTTTAGGAAAATTCTTACTGGCAAGAACTTTAAGTTCTTAATGAGAAGAACCCTAAAGTAAATTTAACTAAAACAAGGTGTTGCTTTTAACTGTGGCTAGGGGCAAAAGAGCTAAGAAGGTATTTGGTTTTGCTTTTTCTTGTTTTATTATTTTCAAGGCAAAAAATATATGTTTTAATTGAAGGCAAGAGTAAGTATAGACAGGTTTAACTTACAGATAAACAGATATATAAAAGCAGCATCTCAGTTTACCATGCATTGCTAGATAGGAAGGACCAAGCTATTAGTTCAAATGTGACTGAGCAGTTTTGGTGTGCATTTGGATTTTTTTTTTTAAGATGGAGTCTCACTTTGTTGCCTAGGCTGCAGTGCAGTGGCACAGTCTCAGCTCACTGAAACCTCCACCTTCAGGTTAAGGCATCAGCCTCATGAGTAACTAGGATTATAGGCACCTGCCACACACCTGGCTAATTTTTGTATTTTTACTAGAGACAGGGTTTCACCCTGTTGGCAAGGCTGGTCTCGAACTCCTGACGTCAAGTGATCAGCCTACCTTGGCCTTCCAAAGTGCTGGGATTACAGGCCTGAGCCACCATGCCCAGCCTCTATTACATTTGGATTTAATAGTAAACAGAGTTTGTGAACCTAGAGGTTTTTAATTGCTGGGAGAAAGGGTATTCAACATTTAACCACAAAATTCTGTTTTCTTAAACTTAACTAAAATGTAGAGAATTGCACTTCCCTGACCAGGTATGATATATAAAGTACATATTTATGTCATTAGTGGAACCCAGCTTGAGATAAATTAATGGAGATTCCATAAATTTTTTCTATATCCTCATTAGGAGCCAGCTTTTGGCAAAAAATAGAGAGAGGCCTATTTCTTGTATGTAACTCACACTTACATGCTACCCAGAAGTCTCTGGCCCAGCTCGGAGATTTTAAACAATTGAAGTAATTTGTGTTTTTGTTTTAGGGTTCACCTTTAGATGTTCTTAAAGATGAAAGGGTTCAATACTGGATTGAGAATTATAGAAATTTATTAGATGCCTGGAGGTTTTGGCATAAGCGAGCTGAATTTGATATTCACAGGAGTAAGTTGGATCCCAGTTCTAAGCCTTTAGCACAAGTAAGTACATTCTTTTGGAGAAAATCAAATTATAATATGTTGATGTTCAGTTTAATAAGTTATTAGCTCATTATTTTGCTTATATTGAATTCCCGTTGAAGTCTTTATTCTAGATTCAACTTTGTTCTTAATCTTCCTTTGGTTCTGCTTCTTGCTAACAATAATCTCAGTGGCTTGAGCTTTAGTCTGAGATAGAACAAACCACAGCAGGCCTGAAGTTTTCCAGTATATTTCTAGTATATATGTTCAGTATGGCAGGTTTGGGTGTTTCTAGGCTTTAGCAGTATTACCTATATCTATATGTGTAATTACACATGGAAATTTTTTTTTAAGCATTGGTTTAAAAAAATGAGATTGTTGTCATATAAGGTATATATATCACATTAAATCACTGTGTCTTAGTTCAGATATTAAATATTAGGTTATCCTCAATATGAGCACTGGATGGTGCTATTTTCTTACTTTAGGAATTGGGGAAAGTGCTTATATTAAAACCAGAGTATTGGTAAAATAGCATTGCATGGTAGTACATATTACTAGTCTATGTGATAAGTGATTTAGATCTAGCAGTTTACCGTAAAAACAGAATGAACAGCTATTTCTATTATTCTAAAAATTTAACTACCATTGTAAGATTGTTAACTCCTTTTTGTCTTAGAAACAGTGTTCTCTTTATAAGAAAATTTTGTCCAGAAGATTACATCTCTGAACTTTGGTTTAGAAGTCATATTGACATATTTTATAATGGCCTAGTGTAAGTTCTGAAGTCGTTATCTCTAAAATGTTGGAGTCTATAAAGTTTGAGTTCTTCCACCAATATCAGTGGTATTAGTAAAAATGTAATTAAGAAGAAAGTACCCAAAAAATGTATTGGCTGAATATAGATTTTAAATGAGAGCTTAGTCGAGCTTAGCAGATAAATTTCAAAATACAAAGTTTTTTTTAAAAGTATTTTAAAATAATTTGTTAGGACCAAACTAAATTATTTAGCATTCCATTATGATTTGCATTACATTTATTTCTTCTTTCATTTGTTTTGTAGGTTTTTGTGAGTTGCAATTTCTGTGGCAAGTCAATCTCCTACAGCTGTTCAGCTGTGCCTCATCAGGGCAGAGGTTTTAGTCAGTATGGTGTGAGTGGCTCACCAACGAAATCTAAAGTCACAAGTTGTCCTGGCTGTCGAAAACCCCTTCCTCGATGTGCACTTTGTCTCATTAATATGGGAACACCAGTTTCTAGCTGTCCTGGTATGACCTAATTCTCCAAAATACTTTTATGAGCTGAATGATTCTTACATAGTTGAGTTAATGTTGCAAATAAAATACAAACTAGCTTGAGTTTGTTATCATTTCTAAGAAAGGGCAGTTTTCTAGCTTGAAGACTTTTATGTTCCTATAATTTATGAAATATATACATTAAAAGTAAAATCTATATCTGTTGATACTTTAGAATTTCACAAGTTCTGACCAATTTAAAATTTGTGAGAAAAGCTTACATATGAAATAATCTTAAAATATTAGCATTTTCTTATCACTGTTTCAAGAGGATTTTGTTCAAATTTGAGTATTTAAAAGTCAGTTTAGGGCCGGGCGTGGCAGCTCACGCCTATAATCCCAGCACTTTGGGAGGCTGAGGTGGGTGGATCACGAGGTCGAGAAATTGAGACCATCCTGGTCAACAAGGTGAAACCCTGTCTCTACTAAAAATACAAAAATTAGCTGGGCATGGTGGTGCACGCCTGTAGTCCCAGCTACTCAGGAGGCTGAGGCAGGAGAATTGCTTGAACCCAGGAGGCGGAGGTTGTGGTGAGCTGAGATCGAGCCATTGCACTCCAGCCTGGGTAACAAGAGCAAAACTCCGTCTCAAAAAAAAAAAAGTCAGTTTTCCCTCACCTATTAACAGATACTTTTTATTCCTAAGGAACTTGTGACATCATTAAAGCACTTTGACATTTCTTATTTCATCTTCACAACCTACTTGTAAAATACATATAGAAGGGTCAGGTGAAGGGTCAGGTGCAGTGGCTCATGTCTATAATCCCAGCACTTTGAGAGGCCGGGGCAGAAGGATTACTTGAGCCTGGGTGTTTGAGACCAGCCTGAGCAAAAAAGTGAGACCTCATCTCTATAAAAAAGTTGTTTGGCCAGGCGCAGTGGCTCACGCCTATAAACGCATCACTTTGGGAGGCCAAGGTGGACAGATCATGAGGTCAGGAGATCTAGACCATCCTCGCTAACAAGGTGAAACCCCATCTCTAGTAAAAATAGAAAAAATTACCAAGGCGTGGTGGCACGCACCTGTAGTCCCAGCTACTCAGGAGGCTGAGGCAGGAGAATTGCTTGAACCAGGGAGGTGGAGGTTGGGGTTACCCAAGATCTCACCAGTGCACTCCATTCTGGCCACAGAGCAAGACTTCATCTCCAAAAAAATAATAATAATAATTTAAAAATAATAAGAAAATACATACAGAAAGTATTAACCTAGAAGTGAAGTCAGGTCCCTTGACTTCTAGATTTTGATGCTGTTTGGCAGTTATCTAGTAAATTATATATATAGAGAGAGTGCGTGTGTGTGTGTGTGTGTATATATATATATACACACACATATATATTTATAGTGGTTTTTTGTTTTGTTTAGTTTTTGAGACAGGATCTCACTTCGTTGTGCACGATAGAATGCAGTGGCATGATCTTGGCTCACTGAAACCTCTGCCTTCTGCCTCCTGCCTCCTGGGCTCAGATGATCCTCCCACCTCAGCCTCCCAAGTAGCTGGGACCACAGGGTTTCACCTTGTTGCCCCAGGCTGGTTTTGAACTCCTGAACTCAAGCAATCCACCTGCTTCAGCTTCCCAGAATGCTGGGATTATAGGCATGAGCCACCATGCCCAGCCTATATTTTATAATGGTTAGAAATATTAAGATTACTTTTTATTCTTTATAGTAAACATAAAGAAGAAAAAATTTTTGAGTATATTAAATAACCAAATATATTATTTTATACGTGGTGGCTGGAATTATTCTAGCTCTTTACTTAACTTGAAAATGATACTATGGCAGAATTTTTAATTAAAATCATTTTGAGTATTTGGTACACAGGGAATAATGAACTGGATAGAGTGTCAAAATGTCTGTTTTAATTCTAGCTCTGTGACATTCACTCTGTGACATTGAGAGTTACTTTCACCTTCCTATGGACTGGAGATCTTTTCTAGTGCAGACATTTTATAATTCTGTTTTGTGTCTTGTTCATTTTCTGTATTATCTTGTTTATTTAAGTAGTCTGCTTTATCATTACATTAACATTTATGAAAGACTTGCTGGTATCATTGGCTTAGCAATTATTTTTCCATCTAGATGCTTTTTTTTTAAAGAAATGAAAGCAATACTTAACGTTTTAAATGTAGTTTTAATTTAAATTTTAATCAAGGATTCTCATTTTATACATTGCATACTGATCACTCTTTTATGTTACTCTGGTCCTAATAAACAGAAAATAACAATTTGGAATATCTACAACAATGAGAGAACAAGGAGGTAAAATATAGCATAAATAAGTCATATATTTATATGAGCTGAGATATGTAGAAATCATTTAATGTAACACATCTTTTGGACCATAAGCCTCAGGAAGCTATAAGGATTGTTTGCCTTCTTATACCTGGGCAATCTTCTTTTTTGCTGGATATCAGCTTCTCAATCTTTTCTATTTTTGAAATAGGTTAGAAGAGAAAATGATTTCCTAGAATTTGAAGAAAAGTCTTAAAACATTTCAAATTCTTTGTTATGATGACTAATGTAATGAATAGTCAGCACTCAGGTTTATCAAATTTTTCTGTATTTGTTATAGAATTTTTTTCTATATTTGCTTCAGAAATAATTTCTTTATATATAATATATATTTGAGCACTGATTTTACTTGCTACATTAAGATAAGGCTGAGGTGCTGAGATGAATAAATCAGAGAACCTCTTGGAGCTTATGGTGTACAATAAGCATAGATAATGAATATAAAATAAGTGATATTTTCTAGAAAACAAATGCTGGTCTACAATTCCTTATCTGTCATTTCAAAGTCTCTAACCAAGTTCTGAAAATTCTATGCCTTTTAAAAATGAAATTACAGTAATTTCATTTGGCCACAAAACCTGTTCAGAATTGATGTGAGGCTATTAAGATATTTATTTCTCTTATTTATTTGTGAATATTTATGTTTCACTGCCGAAATATTAACAAGTTGGATTACAGGGTGTTTCAGACTTCCCTCGAAGTGTACATATTTGCTCCTTATTATTTTTCTGAAATCCCAAAACATTCTGCATTCTGAAACACATCTAAACCCCCAACATGAATTAGGACTATTATATAAGGAAAGATTAGGAATTTTCAAAGTGGGAAACATTACTTCTATCTGAAATATCTGGAGAGCTTCAGGAAGAAGTTACCATTTAAGCCAGTCCTTTAAAGTTTGGAAGATTTAATATACAAAGATTGCAGGGAAGCCTTCCAGGTTGTAGACCAAAAGTAAAAAACAAACTAGGGTGAAGAGACTGGTAAGTATGGTAAGTACGGGGAGTGTAGGGGAAGAGCAAGTACATTGGCGTGAAAGGACCTAGGAAGTGGACTGATAAGAACAGTAGGAAAATTAGAGAGAGCTTGAGTATGATCTTTAAAGGCATTGCTTAGCTAACTTAGAGAATAATAAGCACTATTTACAATAGCAAAGACATAGAGTCAACTATAATACCCATCAGTGGTAGACTGGATAAAGGAAATGTAGTACATATACACCGTGGAATACTATGCAGCCATGTCCCTTGCAGCAGCATAGATAGAGCTAGAGACCTTATCCTAATCAACTAACACAGGAACAGAAAACTAAATACCACATTTTATCACTTTGTAAGGAGGAGATAAAGATTTAGTGCATATGGTCATAAAGAAGGAACAACAGACACCAGGGCTTACCGGAGGGTGGAGGGTTGGAGGAGGATTGAAATTTAAAAAACTACCTATCAGGTACTGTGTTTATTACCTGGATGACAGTTCGTACACCAAAACCCCCATGATACGCAGTTTACCTGTATAACAAACCTGCACATGTACCCCTGAAACTAAAGTAAAAGTTAAGGAAGCATATATATATATATATGGTTTGTTTGTTTGGTTTTTTTTAATATGTGAAATCAAACGAGTCCTAGTTCCAAAATAAAAGTATCTAATAGAAATCAAGTGCTGGCTAATGGCTTGAGTATCTAAACCTCCCTGGTGCTTTGCCTGCAGTCAGAGATTACATCCATCCATTATGCTTTGTGATTCAAATAGCTGGAATTTCTGTAAGTTTATTTAACTGAGGCTTGATATTTTTATACTCAATTGTGCTTTGAAGATTAGAACTCAAAACAGTTCTAACATCATTATAAACATTATAAATATTATTTATTAAAAAATTTTATTTGGTACCTAGTGTTCCAAGTGCTAGAAATGTTACAGTAAACAAAACAAAAATCCCTGCCCTTACAGAACTTAATTTTTGGACAATGACACATTTTTTAAAAGTTAGATTATATACTGGTTTCCTTCATTTTCTTCTCAGATTATGAGTTAATACACAAGTGAAACTCTAGTTTCCCCTAAAGTGTTCTGTGGTACTTGTCTTCATAATTCACTATGAATCTTTTAAAATTTAAAGTCATTTGACCTTAAAAAAGCCTTTATACTTGGCAGTGAGGTAGATCTTAATACTTCCAGCTTTATCAGAAAAATATAAGGATACACTTGTTTGGATTCAGTCTGTTTTCTGTTTATGTTAGAAGTTACAAAAACAAAATGACAAGCGCTAACAAGAGCTTTACACAAAGGTATCAAGTAGTGTCCATATCAGATCTGTATTTTATTTTTCTCTTCCCCCTTTCCATTTTGCCCTCTCATTATTAATCTTTGGTGACCCTTTCAGGAATAAATTTAGTGTATTTACATCTTAAATCATTGAACTACTTATACATCCTTTCACCCCATATTATTAGCAAAAACAGATATTTTTTAAAACTATTCCTGACTGTAGGATTATCCTTTTGATCCCGAAAGTGTGACCTGCAATGATCCAAGCAAAATTTTGAACATAGTCATCTATGCATAATGCCTTAATAGATGGCAATTAAGTAAAAATATTAAGTCTAATTAAGCAATTGCTTAAGTTACTCAAGTCTCATGAAGTGCATTGGGAAACTTTTCCTCTTTTTTCCTTCTTTGAAAGGGCTTGTACAGATGAGAATTACCTGCCCCTTGATTGTCTTTCTTCTTTTTTTGAGACAGTCTTGCTCTGTCACCCAACCTGGAGTGCAACAGCACTCTCTCGGCTCACTGCAGCCTCCAACTCCTAGGTTTAGGCAATTTTTGTGCCTCAGCCTCCCAAGAAACTGGGACTACAGGCATGTGTCACCACCCCTGGCTAATTTTTGTATTTTTAGCAGAGATGGGGTTTTGCCATATTGGCCAGGCTGGTCTCCAACTCCTAGCCTCAAGTAGTCTGCCCACCTTAGCCTCCCAAAGTGCTGGGATTACAGGCATGAGCTACCATGCCCAGTTTTACCTGTGCCTTGAATGTTAGGTAAAATTCACTTGTAAACTGGGCCTAGTATTTTCCTGTGGAAAGATTTTAACTACTGATTTGGTCTCCCCCAAAGTGTTAAATTTATATTGTTTCTCAGTGGGTTTCAATAATTTAAATTTTTCCATTTTTGTATTGGCTATTAAAAATGTAGGGAAGCTCCTGTCATTCAGTTTCACTCCATCTAAACTAGAACCTAGCATCAAAATTGTTATTTCAATATGATGTGTGATTCATATTTTGAACATAGTTTTAGAAATGCCTTTTGAAAGTAACTTTAAATAAAATATCGTGATGCAGTTAATGAAGATAATTTTCTTTTCTCATAGGAGGAACCAAATCAGATGAAAAAGTGGACTTAAGTAAGGACAAAAAACTAGCCCAGTTTAACAACTGGTTTACATGGTGTCACAATTGCAGGCATGGTGGGCATGCTGGACATATGCTTAGTTGGTTCAGGTAATCAGCACATTTCTTCTTTGATAGGCTTGGATTTACAAGAGATAACACAGATTGCTTCTAAATAGTTTGGGTTTATCTGTTAACATTTAGCCAAAGTATGAATTTTGTTTTTACAGTCACTTGCATTAACAAAGGTGGTATGAACATTTATTTCATTGTTAGATATCCTATGTAACCTTAAACTATAAAGGTAATACTTATATAAGAACTAGTTCAAATATTTTGCATGAGTTAAATGTTTGAATAACATTATTTCACTTTATTCGGGGAGAGGATGTGTTTAAAGTTTTTTACAACTGAATATGTTGTAATTTATCATGTGATTGAATTAATAATGAAATTATAAAAGTGCATATCATATTGCTGCCTCAGTTCTCTTCTCAGTAAGCTTTTTATGTAGTCATGCAATTGAAACTCTCAAGACCATAATTGAATTTTATTTTGAATGGTGCCAGTGGCCCTGTGCTCCTCATTGATATAGCATTTATACCCAGTTTGTCTCACTAGCTAATTTAAACTCTGAGCACATCCCTGTCACCTTCACAACTGTAAATGAAATATCTTGCCATATATGTAGAAAATAAAAGGTATGTATTTTTTTTTAACTTCTCCCTAAAGTTCAGCTTGGCAGTCATTTATAATTTGATGCTTTTGATGCTTTTTTCCTCTGGGTTTTAGTTTCTATATTTTTACAAATGCCATTTTGAAAAGTTGCATTATAGATAGATCTAAGTAAACAGGTGGGAACAGTGTACACCCCTATAGTCACAGCTAATCAGTAGGTTGAGGCAGGAGCATTGCTTGAGCCCAGGAGTGTGAGTCCAGCTGTGTGAGTCCAGCCTGGGCAATATAGCAAGATGCTGTCTCTTTAAAAAAAAATTTTTTTAGATAAATAAATGTGTATATGTTTAATTTGGATTTTTAACTGTTATTTGATGTATTTTTTTAGGGACCACACAGAGTGCCCTGTGTCTGCATGCACGTGTAAATGTATGCAGTTGGATACAACAGGGAATCTGGTACCTGCAGAGACTATCCAGCCATAAAATGTTATCACCTTAAGAGAAACCTTCAAGTGTGGAGCTTTGTAATAGGTGTCCTTCATAGCTCAGAAACATACCTCAGAACAAGTCATTCATGACTTCCCTGTAATGGGAAAATAAATCATTCTCTCAGATCAGCAATTTGATGTGTGAGTGATTTTGATGTGCTTCACAGAGACAAATGCTGCTGAAATAAACTTCAGAGTATAGACGTGAATTCTGTTCAGTAGCTTGAAAAGTCTACTTTAGAAAAACTTTGTAAGTTTTTGTTGAAATTATGAACATTCTACAAGAATTTCTGGAATAGCCAAGAACAAACCTTGAGCCTGATCTTCAAAGCTGAAGTTGGATATCTTTCAATAAAATCCGTGCACTTTTAAAATAAAATGACTAATTCAGTGATTCAGACAATAATCTTAAGTTAAGCTGTGCTTAGATTTCTTTCAGATAAATTTAAAATTATAGATTTTTACTTTTAGAATTAGAGAGTCCCTATCCCATACTGGAGAATACTTTTTATTAATATATGTTATATATATATGTATGCATGTGTGTGTGTATGTGTAAATATATATATTTTTTCAAAGGAGACTTTTCTTTCATATGTTTTTATTTTAAGATAAGCAATCTTTTGGCATACACATTGTCTTCCTAGAAAAGCCAAGATGAAGAATCTATCTTACAACTTTTTCTCTTCAGAAGAGAAAAACATGTACCATTTCAGGTGAACATATAAAATTTTCACTTTCTACCTTTTGCTTTCCAGTGTCTTAATTTGTCTTCAAAGGTTTTTCTCCATATTAATTTGTCATCTTACCCTCATCATCTGAGAATATTTTACTGAATACAAAGTCTATGCAAGATTATATGTAACTAACCATTTAGCATAATCTATGTCAGTGTTTCTGTACTGTCAGATTTCCTCCTGACTAGGAATAACATTCTTTGTTCTTTCCAAGGTAGACTAGGAGATGTTGGGGAAATACGGTCACTTCAGAGTCCACGTTAGATGTAAGTTTTTAAATGTACATGTTACTGGAGGGACTTTATTTAAAATTTACTTTTTCCGATTTCATAGCTATAGAAAGTTGTAAGAGAAATACCAAGGGTTTACAGGATGCTTCTCTGTCATCTGCCATATGCAGAGGGACTGAACTAGGAAGCTTGTAGTTGAAGCTCTGTTCATAAAGAGTAAATCTAATTTTATTTTTTAGATTTTGGAGAAATAAACTGAAGAATTTTAAGAGCTTTCATATTAGCAGTTTTGCCTTATAAAAACTAAGATCTATCAGATTAGTTTGAGGTATAACCTAAATATTAAAAGTAGATTAAATTTTTTACCTTGAGTATCTGATACATAAAACCCTTTTCTAGGAAAACATTGGAAGTAATGTATATCTACTCTAAATGTCTCATCTACATGACAGTCTTTTCAAATGAAAGAAATGGGAAATGCAAATTTTTTTTAAAGATGGCTATTAAGGGTACTTTTTCCAGGCTTTCAGTAAATTTTAATTGATTTCATTTTATTAACACATATCCTCTACCTTTAATATTTCCTTTGAAGTGTTCCTTTCAAATTTATTGTGTCCTAAATATGAAAGTCAGCTTTAAGTAATGTCAAACTCTTACATAGTAAATTTTATTTCTCATTAGCTAAAGTTAAATATAAAATTATTGAATTTATCTGAAATAGTTACAAGTTTTGGAAATACAGTATAAAACATGAATGTAAAGTCTATTATGTAATATGCTTATTTGTAATCCTGATATATAAGGGTGACATTTTTAAGATTGTGTGTGTCAACCTCGTATTGTTTTCTGTGAAGCCCAAACATGCAGTTTATGTCTCTGGTGTGCATTTTGCATTTCAGTGTGTGTGGACAATGAAGGTAGATTCAAATTATTTTCTCATTTTTGTCACAAAGTCACTGGTATTTGGGTTTATAAACTCAACAAGGTATTTTACCTAAACATGATCAATAGAAGTGTTTAATAAAAGTATTTTTATTATTTTGAAAAGATTCAATAAATCTGGGTTGAAATCATTGTATCTAATAAAGAAATTATGATTCCTTTACAAATAATCCACATGAAGTTATATTATATTGGTACTTATTTGGATGACAGACTTTATACTTAAAGTAACATTCCTTTTAGGCTCTGTTTTTCAGTTTAACCCACTTTCCAGAATGGTTATCATCCTTTACAAAGGTATATTTTAAAAATAGCTTCCCATTATCAGTGCTTCACATAGTATTTAAAAGAATGTAGTTCTGCATTTAATTGGATGACTGAATTTCAGTCATTCATTTGACTGCGAATAGTAAAGGAATGGTCTTTGAAACTCATAATCCTAGCCTCAGGATCTTTGGTAAGTGACTTGACCTTTTTGAGCTTCAGTTTCTTTATATGTTAAAAGAAAGATGCAGAAATACCTACCTTATAAAGTGTGGGGACATTAGGTGATGCAATAAACATGACTTACCATATCCTTGTCACACAGTGCTCTATAAATGGCAGTGATTAGCAGTCATTGCTACCTTAATTTTCATAGGTTACTCCTGTAGCAGTACTTTTTCAGTGAATACAGTATAATTTTAACAAAGAACCTACATTTGTCTCAAAAATGAAAATTTCCCGTAATAGTAATGCTGCAAATATAGGGTAAACAAAAGTAGCTAAATCCTGTCTCAAAAGAAAAATGCCATTATTTGGATAAATTTGGAGTATTACTATTTTGCTGTATGCAAAAATACTCCAAATGACCTCTTAGGAGTTAAATGTGGTATAAAAATGAACCGAGAAGAAAAAGTTATGGCAAATTTAACAATTGATTATTGAAAACTTGGAGTTTTTATATCTGTTCTCAACTCTAAACTAGGTTTAAATTTAACTCCCTAATCTGGATACTTGGAGACAGTATCCAGGATTATTCCGTGTACTTCTTCCTTTTCTGGCATTCTGTTAGACTTGCTGTTCATTTCAGTTAAAATGGTGGGGTGGTAGTGATAATCAAAAGTATACTGTGAGACTTGCTCTCCCAGAATGGCCATAATTAAAGCTAGTGGGCACACATTTCTAACATCTGCTTAGATAGGCATCAGAGAGATAGGAGAGGCATATCTGGTGTTAGGTCAGCATCTTGTATCAAGTCTAGTGACCCACATCACAATGACAGAAACAGCTTACTAGATAGCACCTCCCTTATCCTCTACTCACTCCCATCCTTTTCCAGTTTTCTCTCCTACCTGAAAATGTTGTAGGTTACTTTGCTGATTATAACAAGCAGCACTTTACAAATATACTAATTTTTATAAAATACTACTTTTCCCAGAGTACTGAAGGAAAGCTTCCCAACATTTTTAAAAGCTAACAACCCAGATATCAACACAAATTTAATGATAAAATCACAAGTAAAGTTGGTATCAAATGCATTAGTATAGTAAGGAGAATTATAATTACTGTTAATGCCTGTTTGCCAAATACATTATCCTGTTTTCACAATAAACCTATGAGGCGGGTATACCATTTTTGTCTCCATTCTGTAAATGAGGCAACTCAGGCATAGACATCAGGTCACTTGTCCTAGGTTACATGAGTAGCAAATATAGCCAAGACTTAAGATTCTAGTAGTCTTGGCTTCCTAATCTGTACTTTTAATTTATATTTTCTGCTTCTGTGCACTACTTTGTAGGTTGCATAAGTAAGAGACTAATTCACTATGACAAAGAAGAGTGCCTTCCAAGAATTAAGTACTGAGTAACATTTACTTATATTTACTGTGAATACACCCAAAGAGAACCATGTCAGTAGCTCTTTGGATGTACAAAGCACTTGATAAAATTCAAAAATTGATCTCTAATTTGTTTTTTAGGTTAGTTTTTGTCATGCAAAGGAAATGTTTTCTCTCCATTTTATCCCCTCCTATTTTACTGTCTTACACATCATACCTAGTAGAGAAATGTTAGAATCCTTCTCACTATAGACAGGAATAAGATTTGTATGCTGTTGTCACTGGTTCTGCACTTAGCAGTGCAAAAGAAGAAAGCTAAAGGAGACACACCTTTGCTTCTTTTCCAAATCATCAAAATTTGGTATGGCAAAAACCGTAAATAGGTATAAGGCAAACAAATTGATAAACTACAACACGTATGACAAATACCTTTAATTCATAAAGGACATTTTCAAAGCCGAAGAAAAAACAATCAGTAGATAATATCAATCAAAGCCTTGTGCAAACAAAACAGAACAGCTGACAAATTTAAATAAATACTAAGTCAGTTACATGCTGATTAAAAGTAGAATACTGTTCACTTGTCTGCATAGATTTTAAATAATAATAGGTATTTTCATGGACGTGAGAAGAAAACGTTCTGAGATAACAGCTTATGAGAGTTTAAGTCTTGAGGACAGGTAAACAGTATTAACAGGTAAACATACCAAATTTTGATGATTTGGAAAAGAAGCAAAGGTGTGTCTCCTTTTGCTTTCTTCTTTTGCACTGCTAAGTGCAGAACCAGTGACAACAGCATACAAATCTTATTCCTGTCTATAGTGAGAAGGATTCTAACATTTCTCTACTAGGTATGATGTGTGAGACAGTAAAATAGGAGGGGATAAAATGGAGAGAAAACATTTCCTTTGCATGACAAAAACTAACCTAAAAAACAAATTAGAGATCAATTTTTGAATTTTATCAAGTGCTTTGTACATCCAAAGAGCTACTGACATGGTTCTCTTTTGGTGTATTCACAGTAAATATAAGTAAATATTACTCAGTACTTAATTCTTGGAAGGCACTCTTCTTTGTCATAGTGAATTAGTCTTAAAGGCTGGGCGCGCTGGCTCACGCCTGTAGTCCTAGCACTTTGGGAGGCCAAGGCAGGTGGATCACGAGGTCAAGAGATCGAGACCATCCTGGTCAACAAGATGAAACCCCTTCTCTACTAAAAATACAAAAATTAGCTGGGCATGGTGGTGTATGCCTGTAGTCCCAGCTACTCGGGAGGCTGAGGCAGGAGAATTGCTTGAACCCAGGAGGCGGAGGTTGCAGTGAGCCGAGATTGTGCCATTGAACTCCAGTCTGGGTAACAGCAAAACTCCGTCTCAAAAAAAAAAAAAGAAGTCTTAAAAAGGTTCATACCCTGACATAGTGTCTGGGAATATTTTCTGAGAGATTTACTGCCTAAGTGCACAAATATGTTTTTATGATATGGTTCTACACAGTATGGTTAATAACAAAAACTTGGAAACCTAGATGTCCAATAATAGAAAAGAATAAATGATTGTGTATGCATACAGTGGGTTACCAAGAAATGATTCAGTTAGTATAGATATTTTCACTGACAAAGATTCCATAATGTATTGGTAAGTGAAAGGAAAGGGAAGTTATTCATGGGCCAAGCACAGTGGCTCATGCTTGTAATCCCAGCTCTTTGGGAGGCTGAGGCAGGTGGATCATGAGGTCAAGAGTTTGAGGCCAGCCAGGCCTACATAGTGGAACCCCGGTCTCTGTGAAAAATACAAAAATTAGCCAGTGTGGTGGCACACACCTGTAGTCCCAGACTGAGGCAGAATAATCACTTGAA